GAGTTTTTAATTTCCCGGATATTTCTTTGAATTTGTTTCATGCATTCCATTTCTTTCCTCAATTGTTCATTCAGGATTTCCATCATTTTCCCATGCTTCTGTCCTTTTTTATCTATGGCCTCTCCAGCTATGCTGAGCAGTTCCTTTATTAAGGTTGTCATTTCTTTTTTTACATGAGAAATTATTTCTAATCTGATTTCCTCCATAGCCTTTATTTTACTTGCTATCTTTTCAGAAATTTCAGGTATAAGACTTCTAATGTTCTCTGTTTCAATGTCTCCTGTACTTATTCCTGATGAACTGGATATTTGATATTGCATGTTGCTTTTTTTGTTTTGTCACTTTGACCTCTTGGGTTAATACTTTGGTCTTTTCAATCCCACTGGTCTCAACTGATCATTATTTGTGTCTTAGGGTCCTACTGTGTGGTTGATGTTTGTGCAGTTGCTGAGTCCCACAATGAAGGGAAGGGACCAATCACCTGAATTCCTCCTCTAGGGTCTTTTGGGTGAGTCTTATCCCAAGGCTGACTAGCCTAGGAGTATTGATATAATACAACTCTTAGCTCCTGTTGTTACTGAGGCTTTAACTGTTCCAGGTTATCACATTTACCTGGCTATATTGTTCGCCTCAGCTGGAACCCAACTGTGTCACTGGGGGGCTTGTAGGCCTCTTTCCAGTTCCTCTGGTTTGGGGAGCCCTTGTTGGTGCTCTCATCAATTCACCTGGTATTCTCTATGTGGAAGAAAGACTCACCCACTCTCTTGCCAGCCTTGCCAAAATCCTACAGCTGGGGGAAGCATTCACTGCCACTCCTGTTGATGCACTGAGGTTCTCTATTTGAGGGAGAAACTCACCACACTGTCACAGGCCTACTGAGGTCCTCTGTGTTGGTAAGGGTTGCTGAGGCTTCCACCAGCCCACCAGGGTTCTACAGCTGGTGGATCGGGTTGCTGATGGTCCATGAGCTACTGAGGTCTTTGGGATGAAGGGAAGTGGTGACCAATGATCCCTCCAGTCAGAGGTCTCAGAAGTGGAGGATGAGTAGCAACTGATGATCCCACAGTCCCCAATGTCTCTGGGGTGGGAGAGGAGAGGCTACCAATGATCCCACCAGCTGAAGTGGTCTCCAGGGTGGAGGAAGGGGCTTCCAAAAATCTTGCTGGCTACCTCTTTGACTCTCCTTATGGAGAGTCTTAATTTTTGTCCCTGATATTGCCTAGTCAAATAATTGCCTATACTCCCAGAGCCCTTGTCACAGGGCTTTGGCTGCAGCCCCATTCAGATCAGACTGGTAGACTATAGCTGAGAAGGTATGTAAGGGAGCATCCTTCTCTACATGGACGTTTGCAGGATGCCTCACTTCAAGGTCCTCTTTCTTGAGGTAAAATAGGCTGGTTGAGTGTGTGTCCCTGGAAATCACATGGGCATCACCATGGTTCAGCCATGGAGGAAGTTGCTGGGGGCACAGAGATGAGGTTTTGCCTATTCCAGGCAAATGGGGCAGTGGTTGAGAGCTCAAGTTTAAGGTCATGTTTAAGGCGCTGAGGCTTGCTCTACCCTTTGTTATCTGTATGTTATTCCACCTCTATTAGTTCCTTGCTTGTAAACTGGGCCAGGAGGTTTCCTGGTGCTCACCATGGGTTGCATGTGGAGGCAGAGTGAATTCATTCCCCTTCTCAGCTCAGGCCCAGTGCCCAATCTAACTGGCAAATGGAGTAAGATGAGAAAATAGGGCTACAGATGCTACACTTCCTCTGTACAAAGTTGATGGAAAAATTTGACATGGCAACTGTGCAGCACAAGGTGCTATATAATGAATGCCCTATAAAGGGCAACTAGTTTTTATTGCAAATGACAGAATAAGACTGAGTCAGAAATACTGTTGGATTCCAAATCTGCCCCTAATTAACTGTGTAAGTTTGAGCCAAACATTTAATCTCTCCATGTCTTAATTTCCTCATTTATCAGATAAGGGAATGGGCACGTTAATATTGTTCAAAGTGAGATCATTGACCTCCTTACATCCCAATAAGAACCATTTGCTCAGGAGGTAATAAAGATTCCTGGGTACACCCCAGCCCCACTGTTTAAAACCTGGTTTCAGTCAGCTTCTGGGATGATTCTTGCTGTATCTTGTCTCCCTTGTTACTGTAGTAATTATTAAATGGACTTAAAGGGCCAGTTAGGTCATCAGGGGAACTTACTCTCAGAGCTGAAGGGTCCTGCGACCAGGCATAAAAGATCATGTGAAATCTTATTTCACAGGAGTTTTCCATCAGGTAGTTAAGATTTAAGAAGCTTATCCCTAGCCCACAGCAAGAAATGCTCTCTGTAGCAGAAACGCACTTCTTTTTCTGTCCACAGGGAGTCAGTGAAACATTAGACCTCTCTTATTTTAAATTTCAGAACAAAAGAACTTTGAGCAATGTTGATCTAGAAATGAAGTGCTTGCACATTACAGCAGAGAAGTCTTATTTACCAACAGACTTTCCACTGTCTTTGACTTTCTATGCAATCAAAAATCCAGCAGTGCCTGGCTCTTTCTGGAGGAAAGTACGTTAGCTTTCGGGTTCATAAACTTTAAATCCATTTAGTAGATTTTCTAAATAACTGTCCTCAGCACTCTTGGAGTCATTTCAAGGCAGAAAAGTCTCTGCTTTGATTTTTCTCTGGAGAGCATCTTTAGACGAGCTCAATGTGTCTAGCCTGTGCTGTTTCATCACCCTCTGGGGGACCTGGGGAACCAAGCTTTCAGCTGAGCTAGTGGAGGCTCAGGAGGCTGCAACACCTGAGTGCAGACCTGTAGCTGTGAAACAGAGACCAGTCTGGGCCTCTCATCAAGGGCCTTCTTTGCAAGGGATGTCAAGCTAGTGTGCATGTAGCAGATGTATCTGTCCTGTTTGTGTTTTGATTGAGCTTCTGACTGGAGCTCAGCAGTTGATCTTTTCCCTGGCTCAGTTTTTTCTTCTTCGTAAACCACAGCAACCAGGCGAGGGTGGAAGTAGGATTGCCAGGGCAGAGCTGGTCATGGTTAGCACAGGTGTCTGTGTCCCCTTCCTGAGCCTTAGTCGCTACCATGACATGTGGTCCTGTGCTTCCCTTAGAGGTAGTCACCATGATTGCCTCCTGTAGGTGACCCTCTGCGGCTGCAGACTCTCTCTTTTTCTCTCCTCTTTCCTTTTTCCATGGAGAGATAGTTTAATGAATGAGAGATTACAAACTCAAAAAGTGCTGGGTCACAAGATTTAGTACTTGTTAGATGCTTGACTCATGATGAAAGATCATGTTGATCACTTGATGAGCTCATTAATTAGCTTACTTGCCAGGCATTGTGTGAGGAGCTCCTCCACACCAGGCATTTTCCTGGGCACAAGGGTTTCAAAAAAGAGCAAGGTGTGGGGTCTGTCCTGAAGGAAATCAGTTTCAAGCTGAGGAGGTAAAAAATAAAATCAGTGACCCTGATTCACTGTGAAAGGGCTACAGTGGGGGACTTGTGGTAGGACATAAGGACATTCACAGGAGTAAGTGACATTTCTCCCACATCCTTGAGAACAACCCATGTGTGATTTGTGGGGGTGTAAAACAGGACAGAAGGAGAAGCATCTCTCTAAACAGGGCCTCAGCTTGTCTCCTCTAGGATCCCCCATAAAGCTGAGGATTAGGATGGCTCAGCCCTGCTGGGCCAGGAGATGTGTCCATGAGTTCTGGTGAAGATTTCTTCTTCTTTTTGTAAAGGATTGCTGGATGCAGCAGAACCTTGCAAACTCTACTCATTTGTTTGTTTGTTCCTTTCAGCACTGGGGATTGAACCCAGGGCCTTCACACTAAGCTACATCCATGGCCCATTAAAAAAAAAAAAATTAAATGTTGAGACAGGGTCTTGCTAAATTGCTAAATTTCCCAGGCCTGTGTTTGAAACTGTGCTCCTCCTAACTCAGCCTCCTATAGTGCTGGGATGATAGGGGTGATTCACCGTGCCCTGTATGTTATTCTTTTCATCTCTTCTTGGTATTTTGTTTATCCTATATCACTGTTGAGGAAAGAAACTCTGTTAATGAAAAAAAAATATATGAAAATTGTAGTTGTGGGTACATAGAGGAAGCCACTGCCTTCAGGCTGAAAGATCCTCATGGCCTAAGTAGACGTTCTGAGTAATCCTGAGCACCAGTTCCTCTGAACCCACTGACAGCCCATCTGCCCGGGACACAGGAGCACCATAGTCTGGACTGATCTACATTGGTCTGGACCCTTTTTCTCGCTGTGTGCTAGGAGCTGACTGGAATAATCTCCTTCTAGGCAAAACTTTCTTCTTCCACTTTTCTCTTTTACTTTCTTACGAGGTGGCAACCCATCCTGGTTTGCCCAGGATTGTCCTAGTTTTAAAACTGACTCCTGTGTCCCAGGGACATGTTCAGTTCTAGAGATCTGGGGTGGTTGAACACTCTACTGTTCCTCCCCAATTCCTGCATGAATCTATTCATGCATCTTCCTCCTTGGCCAGGGAGTTTGGATCACAGTAAGGGGATGCTTCAGGGCAAAGGGTTGCCTCACTCCTGCCACAGGTCTGTTTGCAGTGCTTGCCTGTACCATGTACCCTCATAGGGGAATTCTGCTTACACCTCTGTTACTTTACAATCTCTTTTCTGCAGAGGGTGACTCTTCTGATGTGACTAGAACTGACTTCCATTTGCAAACAGTGATTTGGGTTGAACTGAACTCTGCTTTTATCTCTCTGTGGACAGAGAGGGAGGGCTAGGCTGGCTCAGTGGTATCAGCTTTCTGGGCCTATATGGAGGCCACTATCTTTAGCAAAACTTACTGCTAGCATCATAGAAGTATTTGTGGTATTTTTGGTGGATTAACTAATGGTCAGCTGGTAACACCCAGCTGAACTGAATCAGCATGGTGCTGGGTGTGGAAGGCCCACCTGAGGATTGTTGCCAACAGCATAAAGAGAACTGGAGAGGAAGATAGTGGGCCATTGATTCTTATGAAGTTTGTCATGCTGGTTTTCCTGAAATGAACTCAGCTGTTCTCATAGTCAGAGGAGTCTGAGTCTTCACTGTCACTGCAAATGGCTGCAATTCTGTTTGAGGGAGCTCTGGACCTTACCTCGAGCATCACCTCCTGGATTCAGTGCAGAAGCCTCAGCCTGCTGACACAGACACTTTATCCCACTGGTATGAACTTTCTAGCTTCCCTCACTGACGTTTGGGCCTTTCTAGTGCAGATCCTTGACACAGACTTGCATGAGACACTCTTATGGGCTCTAGGCCTCCAGCCAGACTCACAGGGGTCATTGTTATGGGGTCATTTCTCTCAGATCTGGGTCTTCAATTGGAGTTGTGCAGGACATTACCGTAGGGTTCAGGCCCTCAGCTGAATTCTTTGGGTCTCTAGTGTATGGACAGATCTCCTGCCCTCTTTTACATTTGACTCTTTGGCTGAATATTATAAAATAATCCTATACATTATGTTTCCTGTATTAAATCTTTCCGCTTGTAACCCTGAGTACAACAGGGAAGAAAGACTCCCAGGTTCCATAGCTGGGTCTGTGAAGTAAGCTGACAACAGTGAGATCAGCAGCAGAACAGGTATGCACATTTGTTATTTTTAGTATCACATGCAAGGGGGCATCACAGTGGGAAAATGAACACCCCCCTCAAAGTGATGAATTTGAGAGCTATATACTGTCCTAGTAAAGGAAGAGAGAGGGTGTGGGCCACTTAGGGGAGAGCAGATGAGTTTTTGGAATGAAGAATGGGCCTGTAGGCGAAGATGAAAGGTAGGATACTTGCCACAAGGTTTATGTGGGGGGCGAGGGGTGCTGGCTTCTCATTGCCTTTCTTCTGCTCTTGCCTGGCTAGCAAAATGCACAGGAAAGGGATTCATGACACCTGAATCTCTTTGGAGGCTCTGTCTTTAGACAGGTAAGTGGAATTTACTGAGAGCCTCTCCTTACATTTGTGGTTTTTCAAGTGCCTTCGGCTCAAAACGATCAGTAAATGAAAGTGGATAACTTGGGGGTGTCCTGAACCACTTAGCAGCCCTACTCCTGATAAGTCCTGGTCCTCAGCATGAGCATATGGAATCCACTCCATTCTACTCTCTTTCTCTGCATCTAAACCTAATCAGATGCCCAACATAGAAACAGATACGGTGGGCAGAAGTTTCCAAGACAGGGCCCTGAGCCTGGCCTCTTCCTTTGGTCAGTGCTGAAGGTGGGAAGAATCTCTGAGTACTGATCCAAGTCACAAGTTTTAGATGGAGATGAGGCCCAGATAGGAGCCTGAGGCCCACAGTGATTGTTGGCAGAGTGCCCAGTGGGGGAGAGTGCCCAGGGTTAGGGTAGAGCTTGGCCTCCTGCCAAGAGCAAGACAGGCCCCCTCTTGCTGTGACCTCCATCACTCCTATCCCTTGGCCAAGAATTTCACCATCTTGTCACTCCACCCACCCTGCTCTCACTCATCCTGCAATTCAAGCCCAAGCACTGCCTCTTTTGTGGAGCTCAATTCAGCTGCTCATGCCAGCTGAAACCTTCCCATACACCCACAGGCCTCTGCCATCGCAGCAAGCAGCATCTCGCATGTTCTACTGCAGTGACTCATCTGGGGGGTCCTCACTGCCATTTCTTACTAACCTGTATCCTCAGACCAACAGGATTTCACACAGCATCTCCACTGTTGTTCTGAGGCCTCTGCTGTGTAGCTTCTGTGCCTACAACAGAGCCAGCACATGGCAGTCACCCTTTTCAGAATGCAGGAATGACGTAGCTGGGGACGCTAAGTCCAGCTTAGCTCAACTTTACTGAACACTGCATTGTCTAGGAGGGTGTTAATATTCAGATTCTGGTTCACAGGTACAGGTTTGGGCCCATGCTGCATTTAACAAGCATTCTCTTGGGTACTTATGCCACTGGTGTTCAGACTGCACCTTAGAGGAATGTGGGAGAGCAGATTGCAGGATGTCCTATCAGTCATGCTGATGAAGGACAGGTGAGCAAGGTAGGGTGGGGTTAGTTTAAGAAATTCAGATCATTGCCAGGAGCTTGAGCTTCTGGGTTTAAGAATGAACCTCAGAGAAATGCCTCCAGCTAGTAATTCCTGTCTGCCTGGGGCTTGGCCTGAAATGGATTTTCAGCTTTGTTTACTGTGGTAAACCTCAAGGCCATCTGAAAGATCTCACCAGTCAGTGTGTGCCAGGACTTCAGAAAGAGAATCTCTCAGCAGTGCTTTCTCACATTTGGGTAAGAATATGTGAATACAGTCACAAAATATACTTACTCAGTAGATTAGAAATCACGTATGCTTTTTCAGTCGGTTCTTAGGAAGAGATGTGATACTGCACTGCAAACATAGCAAAACCAAGTCCTTTCACACAAGGGTTGCCCAGGTTAAGTCAAATCACAGGTAGCTGATGAAAGGGACCCAGCAATCAGACTTCCATCATGTTTACACAGCACTTTCCTCTTTGCAACAAGAAATTTTAATGACAATCTTCCAGGGAGATTGGGGTCTTGTCTGAGTTGTCTGCCATCAGCCTGTGCTCATGTGTTTAGAAGATGGGCAATTGAGAGGTGATTAAATCGTATGGGCTCTAACATATGAGCATCATTTGATGGCATTATTGGGAGGTGGTGGAGGAAGGATGTGAGGCCTCTCTAGAGCCAGAGGATTATGGGGACATGACCTGGAATACTACATCTGGTGCTAGCCTCTTCCTCTTTGGTTCTCTCATTTATCTTTGCTTCCTGGATGCCATAGGTAAGCAGTTTTCCTCTTCTTCCTTCTCTAACTCCCCCTCTTTCTTCACCACAGGCCTAAAGCAATGGAGCCAGCCAACCATGGACTGATACCACAGGAACCATGAAAGCTACTGTAACTCTCACCTCTTCAGTGATCTGCACGGCCAGAGCTTGCTCACAGAAGTTAAGAAGGGAAGCAGTCCAAAAACATCAGTTTGCATTTGTTTGCATCTATTTGCATTTGTTCAATCCTTGGAGCTCCTTTGTTTGTTTTCTTGTACCTGGTAGGTATTCCTCAGAAAATATTCAAAATTACTATCCAGAAAAAAACTTAGCTCACAAAAGAGCCAATGAAATGGTCAAAGAGGCTGAGAAATACAAATTTTCCCATGTGCCCAGGAAGAGGAAATGGGATGGATGGGCAGGCACTGAGTCAGTTTCTGTTAAAACTGCCAAGTCATTTTCCCTCACATCCAAACATTTTCTAGATTATTCTGTTCAAGCATTAATTTTAAAAATTAACATTAGTAATAATAGCTACTGTTTATTGAGTACTTACTACGTGTCAGGCTCTGTGGTAACCACCCAGCATGCATTCATTTATCAAACTCTTACATTAATTGATCAAATCTTATAACATAGGCACTGCTTTTATCTCCATTTCACACCCTGAGGCAAAGGGAGATAAGGAAAATGAAGCAGAGGGAGATAAAATGAGCTGCCCAAGCTGCACGGCTAGAACCTGATGTGAGCAATTCTAAACTGTGGCAGCTTCTACTTCTTCATAGCACTCTCCTGGGAAGTTACTCGTTTTCCTTCTTCCTGCCTTTCTTGCTCCAGCCTGAAGACCAGGGTTGTCTCATCTTGCCCTTCACGCCTGCTACTCATCATTATGGGTCAGCATCATTCCTCCACCAGCCCTTGACCCTCACAGCCAGCTATTATCCACAGACCTCCTGGTGGTGACCATCCCCTCACTGAAGTGCACAGCCTCTGGCTTATGGTCTTCTTCCCCTGCCACTTTTTACCATTGTCTGGGCAATCTCAGAATTCATGTGCATGACATGTGTGACTCCACAGCTTGAGTATCACTTTGCTGTCCACTAAAGGTCCCTGTTTAACAAAATCTTCTGGATCTAGTTGTCAACAGGGGTAGATTGACCTGCACAATCTATCTCTCCCATCAACACCACCATATACACTAGAGAGCACTTCTCCATCTTTCTAGATGGCTGCTCAGTCCTGGCCTCATTTCTTTTCCTATGTATCCTATAAATCTATGAGCAGCTATCTCATGAAGGCACCAGAGGAGTCAGGTTGGATGGTGTCCCAGGAAATGGGAGTCAGAGGCAGGGAGTCAGAGACTCAGCCGGACATAACCTGGCTGAGCAGCAGTTCTACTATCAACAGAGAAGAGAGCTTGGGGATTATTGGATTCTCCTTTCTCTATCTAGGCAAATTGTTATGAGGCCAAGAGTGAAAATCTTTGCCCTGGACCTAGTCCAGGCAGTCAAATTTTTATCTGAATCTGACTGCAGAATACCTTATTAACCTAAGGTTCTCCCTAAAGGGAAGATTCTCATGCTTCACCTCAAACCTCTTGAGTCAGTCTTTGGGGGTCAGATCTAGGAATCTGGATTTTAAATAAAATTCAATGTGTTCCTAATGTAAGTAATGATTCAAATATATAAAAGTATGTGGTAATCATGATTCCCCATTATGTGGCCTTGAAACCTTATAAAGTTTTCACTTATTAATTGGAATGGCTTTATTCTGGGCTTCTTGATATGGAAATATTTGAAGCTATAGTATATGAAGTTATATTCAAATATTTCAAGGAAAAAGACAGACACTCTGGAACTACTATTAAGTCGGGTAACTAGGTTGCTGAAACCTGTATTGTTATGTTGTTTTGCTTTGACCTGTATTGTTTTGTTGTCATGTCCTCTTTTATCTCAACCTCTCCCTTATTCATTAAAAAATTATTTAGTTATTTTTTATGGTTTTTTTAATTAAGGGGAAAAATTTTAAAAATTAGCAGAATATATTATAGTAACTTTTTGATTTCCTATTAACTTGACTTGAAGTCCTGTAATACTCCTACTATCTTGTTTTGACTGATTAGTCTCTGTTCCATTCTGTATGATAGTATCAAGTTTGAGGGTATAGGCAACTACTTTGAAGACAATAAGATTCACTAAGATGCCCATTCTTGTTTGACTATTATCTCCTTTGGAAGTCCTTTAATGTTTACAATGTTTAAGTTTTATTGGTCTTGTTCTCTACTGTTTTGTTCAACTTTATAATATGTAATGAGATAGACAATTCTTCTTAAGGATACAAGAGGCATTATGGTAACCATTGTTGATAACCCTGTACTCTGTTTTTACATCATGTACTATGTCTATCCTTGGTTTTGACTGACAGCTTTGTTTTGCCATATTTGACTATATTCTCTTCCAAAAGAAAGTAATAAGAACTAAGGAGTAATAAAACCCAAAATGTGTAAATTTTGTTGTAAAAAAAAGAGGGAAAAAAAGTGCTCTAAAGGATACAACTGCAAGTGTGTTTAGGGGTGTTAAATAGCTGACCATATTAATGTTTTTGGTTGGATCATTAAACACAACTGTTTGCAGTCTCTCTGTTTGAATGTTCATTTTGTATGCTTTGATACTGTGACTTGAGCAACTATCTCTAAGTTGATAATGTGTAATCTATTAACTGGTGATTTCTTACTTTTTTTTTTTTTTTTTTTTGTAGTTCTGTATTACTTGTACCCTTATACCGCTTTGTTTTGATTTGTTTTTTCTTTTTCCTTTTAAATAAAATTTAAAAAAATTCAATGTGTTTTTCAAAATCTTCAGTATTCAAGGATCACTAACTTACCAGGGGAGAAACATTCACCCTGGAAGGTGTTAAAAATCTGTATCACCTCCTAATCCCACCCTGTGATTCACCCCTCTTGGCTGGATCCAGGCTTACCGATCAGTTGTGATTTTTCTTTGAAGCACCCTAAAGCTAATTCCACTTTGCTCCCAGAAGGGCCCAGAGTGATACAAGCACATTTGGCTCAGGAACAAACAGAAATTCCACCCAAATCCCTGTGTTCTCTTTCACGCTGAGAAACAGCATCAGTCCCTCCCTTCCACATGCTGCTTAAGGGGTCAGCGTGATCAGGAGATGGATCCATCTGCAGGGTAGGCATCTAGAGATAAAAATAGTCTTTTATAACTTCATATAATCTGCCTCAGGGAAAGCACAGTAAAACTAATACTCTTTGCACTGTGAGGACCTTGGTAGCTCCTTATCTACATTGTGATAAATCAGATCAGTTAAGTTCCTCTCAGAACTCAGTGTTTTGTTTTACACAAAGTGCTTCCCCAATAGCTTCTCTGCCACTCTGGATTCCTGGGGCTGTCAAAAGGGCCCTCACCATCCATCTTGGAGTCAAATGTTTACTATCATTGAAAAAACTCAAGGACTTGAAGTCAGAGTACCTGATTCAAATTCAAACTTTTACCTTACTGGTTTATGATCCTTCTCAGGTCATTAAACTTCAGTTTGTATATCCTCATCTCAAAAAAAAAAAAAAAAAAAAAAAAAAGGGCTCCCAGGTTTTTTGATCTTCTTGAAAGGCTTTCCGGGACAAATGTTTCATATATTGAGAAGAGTGAACTGTGAACTGTTAGGAGGAGGAGATGAGCTGGGTAACAACCCAAAACATTCTTTAGCAAGGGTTCTACCCACACCAGCAGACAGAGACCTACGGGCTTCTAGATGGCCACAGGAGTAGCTGAGAACCAGGATACTGCCATGTTCACTGCCAGGCTCTGCCAGAGAACCTGTGATGCTCCTTGTAGTTCTGCTGTGGGTGGTCCAGTGTTTCTGAGCCAACTGGTGAGGAAATGAAGATGATTGGATGCCCCATGAGATAGAAAGAGAACTATGCCTTCCATTACCCTCTAAGGTCTGAGCCTATTGACTTTGAGCCTATTTGTGACTGTCAGCTTGTATCAAGAGATGGAAAATTACTCATTGAACTTCCTAATGGTTTCAACACATGAGAATAAGGTTTGGCAGTTAGGTGGGCTATTGGATTTTGAAGGGTTTCTGGGCCAGCCCAGGATCTGAGCCTGTGCCCTTCAAGATCCTCCTTTATCAGTGCATCCATGTTTTGGTCCATGAACCTGGAACAACATATCTTGTCAACTGATTCTGAGATGTCAGAGTTGACACAGACTTGGAAGATTCTTACCCTTTGTGTTTTTATTTTTAAAAGTTCAGAGTTTTCTTTGCCTGATGGAAAGCTTGCTGTCAAGAATTTAAGGAGCTACAGCTTAGGTGACACCAGAGAGGAGCTAGCTCACTTGCTTATTTGAGAGAATTTCTCTGAAACTATTTACAAGGCAAGTGATCATATCTGTGATGCCCACCCTAGCTGCATGAGCCAATGGCTCTTTTTCAATCAAAAAGCTCATGTTAGTCTCCCACTTAGATGTTTCCAGTAGTTTCTTATTACTCTTCAAGTAGACAGATCTCCTACATCTGGCCCTGCATTTGGCTCACACTTCAGCTTCCTTACACTAGGCTTCCTCTGTTTCCCAGATCCAGCCAGCCACACAATGCCTTCTCCATGACTATTCCTTTTTCCTCTGCTCTCCATTTGTATAGACTAGCTTTTTGTTGTTCTCCGACCTGTGCTTAATTATGGGATATAATTAAGTAACAACACATCCCATATTTTCTACTGTTCATTTGTACTTTAGCATAATAGTAGTCAGCTGTGCATCTCAGAAGTTGCATCTGGGGGACCCAGGAAGCAATCTTCATGCTTATCCACTTGGTATGATGAATGGTAAGGTGTATACGTATGTACAAAAGTATCAAAGTGGAATTTTTACCCACATAATGCTCCATCTAATAAGTTTTGCATATGTTTACCTGAGCATCATGGTGGTAATGCATACTCCCGCTACTCTTCTATTTTCTAACCATGTATTTTACCATAAATGAATGTGGATATGACTGCACCTGGAGAAAATAAAGATGCACTTGTGTATTCACCCACTTGGCAGACAAATGTTAAGGTGTGTTTAGGAGATCCAAAGCAGCAATAAGTGAGATTTGGCCATAAAATGCTCATTGCTAAATTTTTGTGCATTTATAATTTGCTTTTAAAAAGTTTCTTCTTTTGATTCTTCTGGTAGAAGTAGCCCAGTTCAGTACAATGGCACATGAAAAACCACATTTGTAAGTATTAGAGGAGTTCAAAAGTAAATAACTATATCATTGGATGATGAAGATGAGAATGACTTTGATGTTGGCCATATGAATCAAATTTCCTGTGACAGTGAAATGGAGGAGAAAGAATCAATCAATACAGGCACAGAGAATAAAGATCTCCTTGATTCAGCTGATGAAGAAAACAACAGTGTGAATACATATTTGACTAGTAGAAATGGTACAAGTGGTACAAAATTGTACTAGTAGAAATGGAACAATTCAATGTTCAAAATAGGTCCAAAAATAATCTTGGCAAAGGTGAAACCTGTTGAATGGAGTACCAGCAATGTCACGCAATGTTGGAAATTGTAATAGATGAAAAACTACAAGATATTGTGAAATACACAAATGTTGAAATGTAAGTAAAATATTCTGTATGCACCAATAGCTGTACTAAAAAAATGTGTTTGTATCTGTCTAGCTGAACTGAAAACATTCATAGGTTTGCTGTACTTAGTGCAGATTTTTCATGGTCATCATAGCAATTAAAAGACTTATGGAAAAGTGATAGGTGTGAGCTTTCACTTTATAGAATAATGATGACACTGAGAAGATTTGGTTTCCTTCAAAATTGTTTGAGGTTTGAAGACAAAACCATCCACCATGAAAGAAAAAGAAGTGATAATATGTCTTCTATCTACTCATGGTTTGAGAGATTTGAGGGTAATTGTCAAGCAATTTACACCCTATCTAAATACATGACTATGGGTGAACATCTTGCAATATTTCATGCTTGCTATAGCTTCAGGCGGTATATTCCACCACCCCAACCCCCTTCAAAATATGGTGTAAAACTGTATGCCCTAGTATATGGGAAAATGTATGCTTTCCAATTTAAAAATTTATCCTGGAATTCAGGCACTAGGTCCTTATTCATTGTTATGGATTGTGTCTGGATGTTTCCCCAAAAGCAGCAGTCATGGTAGGGGGTCAGGTCTTTTAAAAAAAACCCAACCTAGAGCAAGTAGTTTGCACATAATAAGTATGGGGGGATGTCTCATTCCTCCCCTTTTTGCCCTTTTGCTTTTACCAGTTTTGGTATCCACCATAGCCACCATGAACAGTTGTCCCTCAGCCGTGCCACCCTGCCTTGGAGCTAGCTGAGTATGGACTGAAACCTCCACAAGCTGTAAACTAAATAAACCTTTTCTTTTTTCATTTTGGGCATCATGTGCTGTCAGTTTAAGTGAGATGTGTGCATGCAGCATGCAATTGTCACACATGAAGACTGCCTTGGGTGTGACAGTTGTACAAAGATTTATTTTTGTTATAATGATATTTTTGTTGTAGTTCATGTAGGACTTTATTTCTCATGTTTTCTTTTGTGTTTTGTAAGCAAGTAAATAGCTGATATCAAAATATTTATGTTTATTCTAAATGTGCAATGCATATGAAAAATTTAATACTTTATTTTATTGATATTTTATTTTCCTTTTTAGCTACATCTTGTATGATAAGACCTTCCTGATAAAACAGCAAGACAAGCAAGATGTCAAGTATGTCCTATAAAAGGCCCAGGAAAGCAAAACACATGTGCTTTCAATGAAAGCAATATGTGTGTATGAAATGTGCTGTTTGTCATGTCAAGACTGCCTTAAGTGTGATAAGTGAGGTAAAGTATTTTTGTAGAGTTCTGTTGGTGTTTTCATTGTAGGTCATATGGAAATTTATTTCCATTGTTATTTTTTAGACTTTGTACATCACAAAACAGTCAATGTTGAAAATTTTGATGCTTTTTATAAAAACTCAATAAACATTAAAATTCTGTATTTTAATTCTGATATTTTTCCTGTTAGGTACTCATTGTTTAACATAATAAAACTTATAAAATAAAACTAATAATTCAGCAACAGAATATTCTAAAGAATAAACACAAGTATTATGCATCCTTAATCCTGCACCTTTATGACAAAATTGGTGTTATGCCTCACAGGCTATAGGCCACCCTGTGGGAGAGGCATTCTCTGACTCCTGAGTCTAATTTAGTCTCTTTCTACCATGAGATCCTATCTCCATTCTCTGTGGAGCACTCATCACTTTGACATTTTTTTCCTGTGTATTTCTTGATTTCTGACTGTTTCCCTTGGAGCATATCTTGGTCACTTTCCCATTGCGAGGCACAGTACCTGATACCTGCAACTTGAAGAAGGAGGGAGTGATTTTGGCTCACCTTTGCACCCATGCTTGGCAGGCTCCAAGGCAGAAATGGCTTGGTGAAAGGGCACAGTGGAGGAAAAGGTGCTTAATCCTGGCAGTTGAGAAACAGAGAGAAAGCAAAAGCTGGGGGCAAGAATGCACCCTGCCAAGGCACTCCTGCGGTGACTACCTCCAACCAGGCCTAACAACGCATCCCCCCATGAACTCTTCCAGAGGTGAATATGCTGATAAATATAGCATTCCATGACCCAATCACCTTCTACTCACAGGAGAACTTAAGGGACATTTTAGATCTAAACCAGAAGAGGGAAGACAGATTTGTTCACCTTGATACCCCTCAACACAGTATCCTCAGCACACAGCAGCAGGCCTTTAGTAAATGCTTGTTGACTCTAAGTAAATTGACTTTTGAGCCAGGTTTTCCAATTTCAGATCTTGTGTTTTACATTAGTTGTCCATCTGGCTTTACCTTCTTCATAGTTAAATTGAGAGACTATCATAGACCCCGCCAGGTGATATTTAATAGTGAAGAACAGGTAAAATGTCTTGAACATAGGAGAAACTCACTGAACACATACATACATGCATGTATAAAGACAGA